TTTTAGGACTAGCAGATAGACTTGTTTAGCCCTTTTCTATTGGTTTAGTGAATCCCACCACTACTGAGCACGACCTGATTGAGGCACAGATCCGTCTTTTACCTTTTATTATTGTATTTTTCCGGGAAAGGGACTTGAAGGAATGCAATCTATCTGATATTAAGAAGCAGGTAGCGAGGTAATTAGGGACCTACTAACTGCATTGGAAATGAGGTCACACTTATGTGTTACGCAATTTTGCTTTCTTTCTTTTAGATATATGCGTTTAAAAAACTATCATTGCTATAGCTTGTTGTTTTGCTATTTTTTTTCTTTTGTTTTCTTTTATGGCTCTGCATTTGTCTATTTTGTGGATTGTTGGCCAAGTTTGATTGTAGTTATAAATTTTCATTAATTTAAATGTTGTACATCCTAACTCTTTAGATTCATATGTTTACTTTCTTGACAAATCGACTTGTTCATGGAGGCTTAAATGATAAAGACTGTCTTAGGCTCATAAAGTGCTAGGTAAAGTCCAGCTTCTAAGTGAGAAGTTGCATAGTGCTACATAGCTTGGTTTATTTAAGCATTTTTCATGTGTTTTTAATATCATTTGTGTAGATATAGTTAATAGCTTATAACTTTTTTGTAGTTTAAATGTTTGTTTCTAAGTATTCTATTTAGTGGATGTGAAATTTCAGTTCTTTTTTCATATATTCAATTTGGTACTAAATTCTTTCTTGGAAACTTTAGTTGGCTAGGTTTTTTTATTTTTAAATATCAGTTATATTTTTCTTGACGACTAAAAATCGTCACTTGAATGTCAGAAAATATATATGTTGATAATTACGAAGCGACAAGAAAAGTACTCTCTGACCGTTTTTAAATGATCTGTGACGTTTTTTATGTGTCAGGAAATATGATTCCTTGATGGATAACAAGTGTCAAGAATCGCGATACCCTTTCCTGACACTAGTAATGTTGTTCCATACCATCAACTAATGGCTATAATGACCTTTTTTAGCCGTCAGTAAAGGGGGTTTTTCTTGTAGTGTTAATGGCATTGTTCTAGCATAATATGTTTGAAACCTTCTATGCACTCTTATATAATCATATAATGTGAGCTTTTGAGCCTTGTGCTTCAATTCATGAGTGTTATACACATACTCTTATTTTCTTGTCATCTAAGTTGTTGTTTGATCTCATTATTCATTGATTTGCTTGAGCACTTAAAAGTCATTCACTCTTATGCAATTTGATTACATGATATCTAGGAAATGACATTAAGGCCCTCTTTGGATCATTTGTGTCTTTTCAAGCTAACCTTTATACATGCTTAAGCATGATTTTTCATTGTTAACCACTTTAAGCCTACCTGTAAGCCTTTTCTTTCAATATACCAACTATATTTCCTCACCTTAGCCTGAAAAATAATAATTTACATTTCTAGGGAACTCATGAGCGTTAATTTGGATGTGTTTTTCATGCTAAGTTTGAGAAGCGATGTTACATATTGTGTAAATAAAAAAACAAAAGAGAAAATTCACTCAATTTGTGAAAGAAAACGTTGTGGTTAGTTGTTGTTTGATTGAAATTTCATATTTGAGTTCTCTTTATTAGGCCTAAAAGTAAATTGGTGGTTGTTCAATTAGACGAAATGAGTCTAAATCAATATAAATGGAGTATAAGGCTTTACGGTCTACTTGATCATAGAAAAAAAAACATAAGCTTGATGATTCTAAGTCTTGTGATTTGTTCCTATATGCTATTTGAGTTCCTTGGACTTTGTATTATACATACCTTTCATTTCTTACTCACCTTACACCCTTGGCCTCATTACAACCTATGCTAAGACCTATATTGATCCTAAATATCATGTGGTTGAATTGTTTTTATCTTTGTAATTTTAAGTGTTTGGCATCCTTCTTAAGATAATATTTATGCATGTTCTAAATTTTCTTATTGCTAGTTAAATCCTTTATGGGTTAACTCTATTCTCATGTTTATAACTAAGTGATGCATTTTAACCCTCTTTTAAGTGATTCATTCATGAGAGTACAACTTTGTGAGCAGTGGCGGAGCTAGGATTTTATGTGTCGGGGGGCCAATATATTAGGGTTTAGGGTTGATTCCTTTCCCAGTGTTAAGCTTGTAATAAATAAATAATCAATTATCTTTAATTTCCTTTTCTTAAATATACTTGTGAAAGAAAGATTTGATTGGCTGTTTCTTTTAATTTTTATAATTATGTTTGTGGTATCCAGGAGTAACTTAGCCATAAGAGCCTTTTAGTTGGAGGGGGAAATGTAAATGTCTCCTTCTCACAAGCATTATTTTAATATATATATATATATATATATATATATTATCCTAAGTTGTCCAAGGCAAAGCCAATATGTATAGTATTTCAAAATTTTGGGAAGGACAAGGCCCTTGCAGGCCTAAGCACACCTCCGCCACTATTTGTGAGATTAAAAGTTGACTTTGTGTTTGGTTTGATATTCGAAGTTGTGCGGAAACTTAGATTGGGAATGAGTTGCAATTGGCTATCACACTACTACACCTTGAGCATGTTGTGTTTTGAGCTTTGCCACATTGTGAATGATATCTAAAAACTGAGTTTTTATTGTGAAAACTTTTAAGTAATGTGCATCAGTCGCCCTCCCCTCGAAAAATATTCAGAAAGATTGTTTTAAGTTTTGTTCAGTTTTTTGTTTTCCTCGAAAACTAGTAAAAGATAAGTTTGGAAAGTTTGTTGGGTTTATTTTGTACATGATTTATCATGTTATTCACCAATATTTTGAGTTAATTCTTGAATTAAAATAATAATAAAGTAATTAAAACTTAAAGAAAAATATTATAAAAATAAAAAATTATAACAATTTTAGAGAAACACCTCTTGCAATTGAGGGGTTTCCAATTTTCCATAGACTTAGAAACCTAAGTAAGAGGTAGCAGACCCAATTCTTGTTCCAACATGAACAACGCAATGTCATGGAATGATGAGGAGAGTGATTAATCACAATCACAGAAAAACCGATGATGGAGTTAGCAAGAGAAAGTTGGGCAATGCTAAACCTCCAAGAAAAAAGCATCACAAGTGGAATATGGAAAGCGAAATAACAAAGATGTGGACTTTGACACATCAAGGCCCTCTCTGTCTATGGTGAAAGCGAGGCTTAAAGCTTTTGGTGAAGGAAAGTTGTTCCTAGAGTTCTTACCATTCTTCTACAATTCGAATTATGAACCCAAGTTCAAAATTGAGCTCTTTAGAAGGAAACATCCATGAATAATGAACTCTAATGGGGACTTTTACTTTCATTAAGTTGGGTCCCTTCAGAATGAACAAAGGAAGCATCTTTGTTGCGACCGTTTGAACAATGATAGTGCAAAAGCAATGAGATGATGATTCCTTTGGTCCAATTAGGACTCAATCTAACCTTAGCAAGATTCTGTTTCTCACCCCGCCATAGGCACAACCCAGATTCCATTCCTTATCCCGTCATTCATTATTGCTATTTATTGTATTTTAATTCATTTTAATACACAAAATGTAGGTTAGGGTGGGAAGAGAGAGACATAAGACATAGATGCCCAATTTTTACTCGTCAATGCCCTATAGAGATGCCTAGAATGGTTTACTCATTAGTGCACTCGTCACATGCCCAGTATGAGTCAGGTGGAGTTAGGATTGGAGTGGTGGTGGTGAGTGGTAGGGTTCGTCATCGGGTCAGGCCAGTCCTAAATTTTTTGGCCCAGGGCACCCATTGCCTTTTTTGTTTTTGCCTTGCCTTATTTCCATTTTAAACATTTAAGTAAATGACTTGTCTTTTTTACTTTAATAGCCATTTAGTGCCCCTTTGACATTGCTTATTTGAGGTAATAAGTGATTTTTTTTAAAAAAAATTGGGAAGCCCAACCCGTTTGGTGAACAATAAGAAATCATTTATTGTTTAAAATTGATGTGAGAGAAAGCTATAAGAGAAATCAGCTAATAAGATGCTTTCATTTTCAAATTATGTAGGAATCAGTTTCAAAGAGACACTAGGTTTAATGAAATTTATAAACTTCCAAAAATACGCCAATCTATTTTCACGCAATCTCTTCTCTTTGTGCGTCTTCTCCTTCAAATCCCTTTACTTCTTCACACCATCTCTTTCACAGAGTTTCCTTCTCTTCTGGACTCCTCTCTCTTCTATTCTATCTTTTTTTTTTTTTTTTTTTTTTTTTTTTTTTTTGAATTTTGAAGCAAGCAGCTCCTGAGAAGCCACAAGAACTCAAGTAAGAGGCATATTATGTTTATTTCACCACAACTGAAAATGTTGCAAATGGGTCCCAAAAATTGTCAACATTGATGCACAACAAGAAGATGGTCTTATAGAACAAGAAATGAAGGCATTGAGAAATCATATAGCCTCAAGTTTAATGAGTTCATCAACTTAGAATGTATCTGATTGCTTGATTATGACTAGTTTAATTTTTTGTTATGACCATATTATTGACAGAATATTTATTTGTAATTGAATATATTGGATTTAACTTGAAACATTAGTTCAGAGCATTTGGATACAAATATTTAATTTTCAACAAATACTTTATTTGTTTTATAATTAAAATAATTTTTAGGGTGTGATGGAAATATATTTAAATATTTAACTTCAAACTAACCCCCATTTGGATTCATTAAAAATACCAGAAAATTAAATTCCCAACAAATCAAAATATGAAAATCTAATTTTAGTATAAGAGACAATTTATACCAATGTTGAGTTAATGTATACTTTATACTAAAATCTCATAAAATCGTGTTTGCTTATTTAAGATGTAAGGAATATAAACCACCAAAAATATCATTGAAAACATTAGTATTTCAAATGTCCATTTTTCATACTTAATCAATTTTGAGAGAAAACACTTTTTCAAGTAGATGTGTACTAATCTATATTATTGTGCATCAAAATTTGACTACATATCATACTTGAAATAAGGCAATATAAGGCAAAACAAAAAAAAAAAGGCAAATGGGTTGGCCTATTTTGGCCAAGCCATGGGCAGGTCGAGCTGAGGGCGGATTGGGGGTTTCAAAATCTAAGTTCAAGTCCTATCCAACCTTAGAACAGGCTGGGCCAAAGAGACCTAACTATCAAGTCAGACCAAACTTTGACCCATTGGATCTCGGGCTACTTACTTCGGCTTGCGTGCTGTAGACCACATGATGACCCTTAGTGAGTGATGAGTGGTGACAGTACTTTTTTAATATTTTAGTTTATATGGACAGGTTTACCCCTCAATTTAATGGTAAAATTGACAGACTTTGATAGTATGACCAATTTGATACTAAATGGAGAGTTGGAGACAATTGAAATAAAAAATTAGTTGATGGACAAAATGATATTGGTAAGAAGTCACTCTTCCCACAACCTCCCCGTCACCGATAAATATTAAAAAAAAAAAAAAAAAAGAAAAGAAAAGAAAAAACACCGAAAAACACCCTACTCCCCCCCCCACCTCCCCGTCAACCGCGTCACCCACACACACACACGCAACCTTACCCAGCAACACCCGCTGCCGCTGGCTCCCACCAAAACCCCTTGACACCCGCCCGCACCCAATCCCTTTCTCCTTCTCCTCCCCCTCCTGCTGCTACGTCAAAGCCCCTTGTAGAGGACAGGGAACTAAGAACAGCGCCAGGACTTTGAACGGTAAGAAGCTTACTATTACCTGCTGGAAATTTAGAAAAAGAAAGAAAGAATGATACAAATAGTTTTTACTGGGTTAGATTTCTAAGATACTTCAGTGGCTACTTTTCGAAGGAACTCAACCCTCATTAAACCTCTCTGTGTATTAGAGACCACAAGAGAAAGAAGATGACCAATCCAGTTCAGGATTTTCATGAAGAAGAAGAAGATGACCAGGGCGAGGTTTATCTTGATGAAGCTGACATTATTGGCGAAGTCGATGTTGATGATGAAGGTCCTTAGTCGACTCTCTCTCTCTCTCTCTCTCTCTATTATGTATAGAATATATGAAAGTTTTATTCATTTCTTGGTCATTTGGTGTGGACTGCAGATCTTCCTGATGCAGATGATGAAATTATTGGTATGCTACTTCACTAGAACCCATCATCTTTGAAACTTTCTTCATTATTTATGATATGGGTTTTGTTTTCCCTCCCCCTTGAATTAATTCGATTGATTGGTATGGTATTATGCTTTACGGTGGTTTCAGATGAGCCTGATGACTCCATGCACATATTCACTGGTCATACTGGTAAGTGATTCCCTTGCTTTTTTAATTTTATTTATTTATTATTTATGCATTTCACCTGTTACCCGCATATTATGTATTCTTAATCGTCAATAAGCTTTGCTACGAGTTATTCAAATTGAAAATTACATTGGGAAATTTGTTATTTCCAAAATTCAAATTGTTACTTCAAGCACTATATGCATATGGTGGCTGTACCTTGTACGTTCTTTAAATAGCAATTTTACCTTTGGAAAATAAACATCTCCTGTACATTTGTGCCTTTTGTATTATATGTTTGGCGCCATAACGCTAGATGCAAAATAGCTAGAGCATTAGAGGAAATATTCTTTGTTCTTGTATTATTACAAACTTACCATGTTAGAGGGATTTCCAGAATCTTATACTGAAGCGACTTTCCAGAATCTTAACTTTTATTTCACTCTCTAGCCCCATTGATTTGAAACTGTAGATTGGTATGTCGCTAAATTGAGTTCTTGACAGTTGCTTGTATTTAGGTTAGGAAATGAAATCTATCTGACCTTTTATTGTTACTTTATCTGTCATATGCACATACACTGATTATCTTTGATTGTATTATAGAATTGGAGTGCAAAATAGCTTTGGCTTCAGGTTGATGCTTTTCTGCTGAGCTAGGCCTATGCCATGACTTGTATTACTTAAAAATTTAGGGTTTCAACTATTTTTCCTTCCCTTTCTGGAACAGGTGAGCTTTACACGGTTGCCTGCAGCCCAACAGATCCTACATTAGTTGCAACTGGGGGTGGAGATGACAGAGGGTTTCTTTGGAAAATTGGACAAGGAGATTGGGCATTTGAGCTCCAAGGTTGGTGACGAGAGAACAGATACATACTTTACGTACTTTGTTGTCCATAATTATTCACTTTAGTGCTTTTGTCTGAACCCAATTTCACCTTAGATCCCTAGCTCCAAAATTAGTGAACTATGCATTTATTAGATTTAGTGTTCACTTTTCTCCATTTTAACTTCTTGAACACTACTCTTCAGGTCATAAGGATTCTGTTTCTAGTTTAGCATTTAGTACTGATGGACAATTGCTTGCATCCGGAAGCTTGGATGGAATTATTCAAATTTGGGATGTCACATCACAAAATCTGAAATGCACTCTTGAAGGTCCTGGGGGGGGCATTGAGGTAAAACTTTTAAGCTGTATTTTTACTGCCATTCTACTGTAATTTATCAAGGATTTAATTTGGATTATGTGACTTCTCAGTGGGTCAGGTGGCATCCTAGGGGGCATCTGGTCCTGGCTGGTACAGAGGACTCTATGGTTTGGATGTGGAATGCTGACAAAGGTTCCTATCTTAATTCGTTTTTAGGCCATGGTAGTAGCGTGACTTGTGGTGATTTTACCCCCGATGGTAACTTTCTTCATCTTGGTGCTTCTGTCTATCTGTGTGTCTGTCTCTCCCATCCTCCCTTTTTTTTTTCTTTTTTTTTTGTGAACTGTTGTTTTCATGCATTTCGTTTATATAAACTGATTTGAAAAGTATTTTGTTGTTTTTTTAATGCCACTATTGATTTAATTTTCTCATGTCTTTTGCTGGTTTCTTAAGGTAAAACAATATGCACTGGTTCTGCTGATGCAACTTTGAGAATATGGAATCCAAAAAGTGGCGAAAACATTCATGTGGTACAAGGTATCTGTTCAAATTGTCATATAAATTTCCTATGTTCATCTTTCAAGTTAGTTGAAGTTTTGGAGCAAAAAGCAATATAGAAAAGGCAGTATAACCTTAAATCCAAATCATTGTATGATTTATATCGCTGATTATTTGGGGCTAGAAGTATTGTTTAACTTTTTAAAACCATTAGGATGGTATGAAGATGCTTGATCTCTTTGCTTACTTTACCTCTGACCTATTGATGGTGTAACATAACCTTCATTAAGAAGCTTATGGTGCGAAAACCGTATATATGACAGCAGAGAAGAAATAGACATTAGGTTCCACAATGGTCGGACACTGAAATTTTGGCATATATACCCAATAGATCGACTGAAATTGCATTTTTGATGAGGTGTCGATACTGATACATGGGTGGAAGGATTCCACCCCCTTTCTGAATTTGATTATCTATGATGATGATTTTTTATTATTTTAAATTCTATGTTTTCATCTTCTAGTTCTATCAGTTGATTATCATAATTTATTGAAAGTACGTTCTCCTATCATGGTGCTAGCACCTATTTGTACCATTCTTATCTTAGTCAAAGTTGGTCTATTAACAGGAAGTGAAAGACTGAACTGTTGTCTCTGAAATCGAGCAGTTCTGTCTATTTTCAAAAGAAATTTGAAACAGATTATGGTAATTTTTTGTTTTTGCTTTGCAATTTGACTCGTTTTGTCTTCTAGGTCACCCGTACCATACTGCAGGATTGACATGTTTGGCAATAAGCTCTGATTCAACTCTAGCTGTTACTGGTTGTGAAGATGGTTCTATCCATGTTGTCAACATATTAACTGGAAAGGTATGATGTGCTTTTGTTACATTCAATACAATGGGATGGGTATCATTGGTTAGTTGTTTGGTTCCCTGGTTGGTTTCACATCTAAAATTATCAGGCTTTTAGTATTATTGTTTTTTCCTATTAACAGGTTGTTAGTTCCCTGCCTTCACATTCAGATTCCGTCGAATGTATCGAGCTTGCACCAAGGTACTTTCAAGCCTCTCTCTCTCTTTTGTGAACTGTTGTTATCATGCATTTCGTTTATTTAAACTCGAAAGCCTGTCAGGCTCCTTTGATCATGACCCATTCTAGACAACCTTTTTCATTTAAATAATTATATTTTTTTGTTTGTGAAATCAATGTGCCTAATTGTAACAAAAAAAGAACCTGATGTCCCTAATCCCTTTGACCATGACTGTTTATTGCCACGTGTGGTTAATTTGAGTGATTCTTGCTATAACTGCCTGGTTTAGACTTCATTTTGTGCATGTTTATTCATTAATCACTTATTAATAGGGGATGGGATGAGATAAAATTCTGAGATAATGCAGAATTCTGCAATTTTGGAGTGGTAAAAAGTTATTCCTTGTTGTGTGTCTCACCTTCATTGTTTTGTCTTCCTCCTAAAGAAGAAGCATGCGCAAGGAAACTCTGTATTCTTGGTATCTTTGCAATCAATCCGGCTCTTATTTCATGTAGTGTACTTCCACTTTACTCATTTGATAAATTGTGTATGGCAGCTCTCCATGGGCTGCAATAGGAGGAATGGATAACAAGCTAATCATCTGGGATTTGCAGCATTCTTTGGCCCGCTCCACATGTGATCATGAGGTCTGTTGGAGTTTCTTCTTGTATATAATAAATCCTTGTTTTTGCAATATTTTAACTAGTTACCAGCCTGTTTGCTTTTAGCCAGTGTTAGTGTTGGCTGATCATACTTTAGGATTTTAAATCTCTGCAACTGTCTAATGGAACAAACCAATCTTTGTGCAGGATGGAGTGACATGCTTGACATGGCTTGGTGGATCGAGGTACCTAGCAACGGGTTGCGGGGATGGGAAGGTTCGACTGTGGGATAGTCTCTCAGGTGATTGTGTAAGAACCTTCAATGGGCACAGTGAATCTATTCAGTCTCTCTCTGTTTCCGCCAACCAAGAGTTTCTTGTTTCAGTATCTACTGATGGAACTGCCCGAGTTTTTGAGATTGCAGAATATAAGTAAGCAAAGATAGCCTACTTCATATATTTGTAACAAATTTGGTCTTGGAGTTTTGTAGTACTTGTGTTCAAAGAATCTGAGATGAATTCCAATACGTAAGCTTTCCAGATAAAATTTTCAACATTACTGTTCTCTGTTTGTTAACATTTTGTTCCGTGGAAGTTCACATCTTACCCCCAAATGAAATTAATTTCAAAAAAGAAAAATACCCAGCAACTCCAACCAGCCCCTTACCTCGACAACTCCTCTCCCCTTGGTAGCAGGTGACCTCTCACCTGATTGCTGGCAGTCGGTGAGTCTCTTGCTTGATTGCTTGGAGGTACTAGTACTTGGCGCAGGAAGAGAACATTTTCCCCATCGAAACAAGCATCTCCTGGTTTTGCATTCTAGAAATTGTTACAAGTAGTTGTTTTGCATGTAACCCTAAACCCTAAACTTGGTTATGAAAATGTCGAAACCCCGAGTCCAGCCTGGTTAAGCTTAAGCTGCCATAACCAAATTTGAATCACCGATGGTGTTTTTCACACGACCAAGAAGTTCTTGTCGACTTTCACCTTCCACTCCGAAAAGAGTAAATATTCTATTGGAAGGCTTAAAATGTTTCTATGATACTTAAACATAATCGGTAATTGGTAAATGAATTACATAATCTAAGCCAGGCTTTATGATCGAAATTGCGATTGCGATCTTTATGCTTTGCTTGCTTTACCTCGTCACAGGATTTATGATTTCAAATTTCAATGGTAACTTGTCCAATGTTGTAGAAAGGCTACTAACAAAACAAAGTTTTTTTTTTAATGGCAGAACTGATTTTAAAAAGAATGCTATGCTCAGGATTTGGATTTAGGAAGATACAAGTGTGAATGATTTAATATCCGTCTGTTCATTGTTATAAAGAACTGTGTTTGGAAATGTTTATGAATGATTTAATATCCATCTGTGTTGCGAGAGAGAGAGAGAGAGAGAGGAGAGAGAGAGAGAGAGAGAGAGTGGAGTAAAATTGGAATTGCTGAAGAAAAAAAAGGTGAAAACAGAATGAGAGCCTTCTCTTCTATCAAACCTCAAAAACGTTTGCTTTCTACTTGTAAATATGATATATACATACGTCTGTTGAATAAGGAATCTGACACGAAATTGCCAAAATGGAAAACAGGGGCTTGATTTGTCAACATTAATTAGAACAATAAGCTTAAATTGGAAAATGCTGTTCTTTTTTTTTAGAGAGGAAAATGCCAAGAGTTATATTGATTTAGAGATTACATTTTTCTCAATTTCTTCATCACACTTCGCGTCGTTAGCAAATCAAGTCCAATTGGCCAATTCCATTAATTAAAAGGCACGTAATGCGGTGAAAAAGGAGTTGAGTTATATAGTTGAGGGAGGAATTCTGAATTTCAGTTCATCAGTACTTTGAGTGCTAAATTTGCTGTAAACAAAATTAATTTGTAACCATGTTATTTTGCGTATCGATATTGCATGTGTTGACAAAAATGAAAATGCTACCTCAATCACAATGAAAATGCTACCATGCCCACAGAATCGCTTGCCAGCTAGGGGCTTATTTAGATTGAGTCACGCATAGGATCGATGTGAGACATTCCTTGCGAGTCAAGGCACTTAGTTGAGCAGAGGAGACTGTTTTGGCTGTATATATAATACACACACATACACACAATTAATGATGGATTCTTCTATCAACCTAATTAGTTGACCCCAATCTAAAATTGGTCTCTGCGTCTGATTTTTCTCAATCCAAACTCATTCAAAAAGCTATTTGATAAGGCCAACCCTTCACCAATAAATAAGTAGATCATGTAGTCAATTCTGCACGGTACCAGCACCAGCACCAGAATCTAATCTCATTTCAAGTTTCTGTAAGACCTTTGTTCACAATATGAAGAAAGCCATTGCTCTCTCTTTCATGCTTGTGCTTTTCTTTGCCATCTCAGCAGGTAGTCTCTCTCTCTCTCTCTCTCTCTGTGGAAATTATATGAAAAATTATACATAAATGCGATTACTTTACGTTGCAGGTGGAGTGAGTTGTAGAGAGGTAACGTGCTATGACAAGTTTGATATGAGCATAGGACCAGAAAAATCTTGCAACCCCAACGACTGCAAGGTACTGTGTCATTCCAAATATTGGCAGCTTTACAATGCAACATGTTTCGACTGGAAGACTTGTGAATGCGCATATTCCTGTTGATAGAGGAGCGTCCAATAATGCAAAGCATATATGATCAGATCATGTATAAACCTAGTCACTCCTACTAATAGTTGATGATAAAGTTGGCATGCCTCTTCACTATCCTTTGTTCTGTTTGCTTTACCCTGTTTTGATTCCACATATATCTGCAGCTCATGCCATTGATAAGTTGTTTTTGTAGAGCACACACAGCACACGCCAAATCTGATTTGCCCATTATATCTTTAAGCACTTTTTTGCCTGCATGTTTCACAAGTAAGTGGGGGGTCACAAAAATGTTCACGATAAAATTTCTAAATCATAAATGTATTAGTCTCCACTCATTGTGCTTAATTCTCCATTACCCATTAGAGCAACAGATGCATATGGCTCCCCGCAGTTGGGGCAGTTTGGGTTGAGCATTTGCTGGAGGTAATGCTGATCACTAATCTGCACAGAAAAGATAAGCAAGACATGATGGAGTTGATTTACTTGATTCGATTAAGCATATGATACTTGTGGCTGTTTGCCATGTTAAGCTGTGAGCATCATAGTGAGGTTACCTAAGTAGAATTTTGTATATACCTGTATACTCAATTACAGAATATTTTTTTTTTCCCTTCAAAATCAATTTAAATCATCAAGAATTTGAAAATCTGATGAAAAAATAAAGAGTATATGTATTCAACCAAGCAGTTATACATTCCAAAGAACTAGATACAAATACAATTCAGAAAAATGAACTTGTCAAAAGAGGCCTAAAACTACAGATATTTAGATTTGTTAAAGTTACTTATTGTAGGGGACTTTTTCTTCCTGCAGCTAACGGGCTGGGCTGCTGCAAAAGGTGGACTGAGGAGATTGCCCCTTTTCGTTTAGGTTCGAAAATTAAGCCTCAAAATACCTCGAAAGGGCAGCGAAACCTTAGGAGATATTTTGAGTAATCTTCACCAATGAGAATAATAGTGACTTACAGATAATTTTGGCATGCTTTCAGATGGTTTTTAGGCTCAGCATGAGTGGCATGAGGCATGGAAAGCAAAACCAACATGGGTTTAGCACTAAGAGAGAAATTAGGCTTGGTTTATGAGGAATGAAAGCGTTTAAGTAAGGAATGGGGTGTTTTGTGAGGAATTTTGGCTAGAGAAAGAGAAAAAGAGAGACAGGGTTCTTCCAGCAGCTACCAGAAGAACAAATTGGAGAAGAAGATGAACAGTGCACGAATCTAAGTTTTGCAAGATAGAGAGAAAAGCTTGCTCTCTGCAGGTTGTGAGTTGTGTTTGTTGGGTAGGGGAAGGCTCAATTTATAGCTGCCGGAAATCACCATTTTTCAAGAAACCCTAATGGCTCCTTCTTACTTTGGCTGAGATTTTCTTCCTTTCTCCTCCCCTTCTCTGACTTCCCTTTCTTGGCAAAGATGGCTTCTGTCTATCTTCATGAATTTAGGAGATTTTGGGGGCTCAACATCCCTCTTTCCCGCGGCTGTGCAATGAGGGCTTCCACTCTTAGTTTGCTGTTTTTCTTCCTTTTCTTTCCTCTTCCTTGGCTGAATCTGATGAAGGAAAGGAGGTGCAAATGTATGCTGGTCCAAGGGATGCTTCTGACAGCATGCAGGATGGTATTCATCGGTTCTTTGGATGTCTCTGGCTTGGGACTGGTTTCCAGCAGCTTACTTAAGGAGCCTGCCATCTACTCCTTCACGTGTTCTCTGTTTTTCAAAAAAAGGCTGAAGCTCTTGTGGGCCTTTTTCTGGGTTTTTCTAAGGGCCAAGATGGCTTTCTAAGCAAATGGGCTTATTGGGCTTGATTTGGGCTTATTATTATTTTTGGTTGGGTTATCTCTTGGCTAGGTTATTTTGCTTGGGCTTTTGGGCTATTTTTCTCTCTTGTGCTACCCACATGTTTGGACCTAAGAAATGGGCTTGAGTCTCGAGGCTCCCAAGCAACCCGAGACTTTCCATTTCTTGGTCCATCAATGGGCCTCATGTTGATTTATTACCATCCATGCCACAACCCACTCAAGCAAGCCCCGGGTCTTTTTTTGAGTGGCTTGGGCCCACCTAGGCTTGTAGCGTGGTTGGGTGCGAGATAACGGCACGGCATGTTGCTCGGCATATTTTACTTTTATCGCCCTTGGGAAGGATTGTTTTAATTTTTTGGCATGATTATATTTTATCATAGCATGATAATTTGTTTATTTAGCGTGGCGTGTGGGTTATAACTTGCATGCGATAGATCCCTTTTTCTTTTCCCTTATGAAATATTGTATTGGGCTGATAATTGTTCGGGCCCAATCCATGGATTTTTTGGGCCTCAACATTAGCCCCCTTAATTATAAGGGCCATGAACAGGTGCTGGAATGGGCCGAATAATTAAACCCAACCCAAAAAATCAGATTTGTATTTGCATAGGACTCTTCTTCTTCCCGCGTGCAAAATGACGGCGTGCCATGATTGGTCCCGGTGGTTACTTGCAGTTTCCAACGCCAACTGCCTTCCTCTCCTTATTTTATTATTTTCCTCCCTTTTCTTTCTCTTTTCTTGCATCAGACATCGGTTTCCAAAATTTCCTTCTCCTTTCCACGCTCCAGACCAAAACTTCCCTCTAACTCTCCTCCCTTCGTTCTTCTTCTTTCTTCTCCATAAATTCAAATATACTGAAAGAGTGAAGTCAGGCCAAAATTGTTTACCTCCAGCCGCTGAGAAGAAGACCCAAGTCGAACCCGACCCCGTCGTTCCATCTTCGTTCCAAAGGAGCCCGTTCGTCGCTGCTGGAAAGGTCCTTTTTGTGCGAATTTTGTCTTCAAATCCCTGATTTTCTTCTCTTTTTGGTGCATTCGACGTCATCCCTTGGAAGATTTAACAAGGTACCCTCCTTTTTCCAGTTTTCCTTTAGATGGATTTGGAGAATTTGTTGGGTTTCTCATACCCATAGATGTTGCCTTTTGTTTTGGCAGCCAAATACCAAAAACCCCCCTTTTCTACCCATCTTGTTTCCGCTGCACCAATAGTGCTCACGGAGTGGGTGCTAGCAAGGAAGGGCCCGCGCCATTGTCTAGATTTCTTCCTTCGTTGATTTTGCTCGAGCTGCTGGAAAGGTAATTTCTTTCTTTCTTGTTGGCTTGGGTTTCTCCCCCTTCTTTTTATTTTGCACGGGCCTCCCCTTTTGTGTGTAAAAGGCTGATTTGGCATGACGTGCTTTCCCTTTGTTTATTTTTCTTTGTGCAGGTACACGCATCTTGGGCACAGGTAGGTGCTGGAAAACCCTTGACATTTTGCTGCTGGAACCTTCGAACTCTTCAGTCTTCTAACTTAGACTTTGGCAATAACTCTGCTAACTCTGAGTATTTTAGAATAGGTGTAGACTGATGCTTGGCTTAGGCTCTCCTTTTTTTCTTTTCTTGAGAACACATGCTTGATCGATTATGGAATTCTGCGTGTGTTGCCTGTGGAGGAAGATAATTGACAGAGTGCATGTTTTGTACTGCTTTCTGATTTTTTTTTTTTTTATTTTATTTTTTTTATTTTAAGGGACTGCTGTCTTGCTTGTCCTGCTTGTTGATCACAAAGCGAGACTCTTACTTGTCATGAGCTTGAATTTTAAATTGCATGTTTGCTTGGATAAACTCAACTAGCCCCGTATTTTGCGTGTGCTGATTCTATTTTGCTTCTTTCCATGTTTCTATGCGCAGGTACCCATTATGGCATCCGGTAATCCACCATTTATCATAAGGGATCATCTTTACTCCGTAGATGACAAGTTGAAGAGAGGGAGACCTCCTCCTTTGCTTAAGGGTACCGACGAGGATGTAATTATTGATGAAGAACCAGCGCCAGAAGCTACTTCAGTGATTGACCCTGCGTCCGTATCAAGGTGCTGCATAGAAAGGGGTCTGTTTCCGGCAGTTCCTTTGTTCTTTCAATATCCCTGCAGCACCAGCAAGGGTTGGTCGGAGTGGGTTGATGCTGAACTGAAGAACCCATCTACCCGTGATATCCTAAGCCGGGCAGGCGTGTTGGAAGCCATCTTTGCTTCTAAGGCTTGCGACATCCATATTGAAGTCAAGACGCTTCGACACTTGGTTAGACGGTGGAGCACTGAGACGCACACTTTTATTTGTTCGTGGGGAGAGTTCACTCCCACGCTTGAGGATGTAGCTAATATCTTCCATCTCCCACTTTGCGGCAGCCAAGATCCTTTCCACATTGCATTAACCGCGGAAGATGGGCCAAAGCTTGAGATTTTGCGGAAGGGTGCCCCGACCTCTCCTAGTACCTCTCTAAGATTCAGTAATTGGATTCAGTTTTTTGGGAACAGTGATCGAGACGAGCCGTGTCGCCTTGCTGCGTTTGTGTCCTTGTGGCTCGGGAGGTTCCTCTTTTGTGATTTTTCTCAGGACTGCTTGCATGGGAGAGTGTTTCCGTTGGCTTTGGCAATAGCACGGGGTAGCATGATCCCTTTAGCCCCCATGTTCTTGGGGCACTTATATCGCTTACTTGACCAGATTCAATTTCTTGAGAAGGGGGCGGCCGGAACCATGGCTGTGGAGACTTTTGTAAACTCCAGTTTTCTGCAGATCTTTTTATGGGAACGCTTCAAAGGGATAGAGGTATCTCCACTCCCTTATTCAAAGGCTGAGTCACTGGTTGCTTCGGACGAGGATTCCTACGTGCCGGGTAGTCTTCCTCTGATCTGTAGATGGTTCCGTCGCATGCAACGGAAGGGCCAAAATTTTTTAGAGCTGCTGGACGATGTTGAGCAATTTATTTTTCGCCCCTATTGTGCCTCATCAGAGGGCTTTAGAAGTATGCCCCTCTATGCTGATTCTGCTGCTTTAATGGAGGCCCTGGCCATGCCAACACAAGGTTGTCGGTTACGCAGAGAGGCATTGTTGAGTGCCGCATGCCTCCCTCTGCCCACATTCGGTGATGACCACTTGGAGATTTCTGTGCATTATTCCCCTTACCGGGTTAGACGACAGCTTGGGTTTGACCAAGGTGTGCCCTCTCGTCCCAACCATGGAGATTCCTTGAGCTTGCACAGGGTTTTCTGGACTGGTGACAGCGTGCCGGGAGACGGCAGGCCTCTTGCCCTTGCTCTGGCCAGCCGGAAGCGCGTTGGTGGTCTCTCAAAGGCCTACCAAAATTATTGGAACCGCTGCTTTGCCTCGCTCAGCCGATTCCATGCTGCCCACTGTGATAGATTGATTCCCACCATCATTCATCATGCCCGTTTAGTGTCGGAAGAGAAAGCGATTTCCTTGAGCGAGAAGCGAAATCTGCCTTTTATCTCCAAAAGCGGAGAGATTGTTGGTGACTTTTCGAAGCTAAAGCGGAAGTTGGAAAAGTCGGGTTCTCATAGCGCCGGGAAAAGTGTTGCACATGGGAAACGGAAGCGCGAGGAAAGCTGCAGTGCCGAGAAAAGGCAAGCTGTAAAAGAACCGAAAAGGTTCATCCCCAAGGTAGCGGCAGGTGGTCCTCCCAGCTCAAGAAAGGTTGCCTTGCCCGAGTCCTTACAGCAGCAGCCTACAGCTTCCGGCAGCAGCGAGCGAGCAGTTCTAAAAGCTTCATCTCCTCACAGTAAGTATTGCTATTTGTTTGCTCCCTTTGTTCCCCGCTCTTTGCGTATATATAAGTATCCCTTTCATCTTATTTTGCAGGTACTTCCCAAAGTAAAGGCAAGGGTAAGGGGTTTTCCGTGACCCCGAAACGTCGAAGCATGCGTATTCTTGAAACGCGGTTTGCTAATACCCGAAAGAATAAGGGTGAAGACTCGGGACCCAAAGTAGTGGTGACGGTTGATGATAACAGTGATGATGATAGTGATGACGATGGCACTGCGGGAACTGAGGCTAACATTCATGAGCAAGAGAGCGCTCGCGATACGAGTGGCATGGATGAGGACTTTGATGAAGGCCAATACGATAGTCACGACGAAGACACCTATCCGGCTTTCGGCACTAGCTTGGGGGAGTTCGATGACTCAGATACGACTCCTGCTTTGACTGGCGATCATGGACAGCGTGTCGATATTGAACTGGTATCAAATATCCTTCTTGCTTGTTTTGCTTGGAATATTGACATTGCATGCTGCCCGTTGTGTCCTCTAGCTCATACTCCGTCTTTCTTCTGCAGGTCGTGCCCGCCATTGAAGGCACGATAGGTGCTTCATCGGAGGCTGATTTTGCCCTTCCCACTACTGTCGCTGAAGTTGTCCTGAGCCTTCCGGCAGTGCAACCTCCTCCTTCTCCTAACCCATGTACCCCTGACATGGCTGCTGATGCCTCTCCACTACTTCCAACAGTTCCTCCTCCTATTTCTCCAATTCCGAACGTACCTGCCATAGCTTTCCGGCACTGCTCTACTTCTTCCAGCAGCACATCCCCTTACTCTCCCAATCTCGAGCACACCTGACATAGCTTCCGGCACCGCTCCACCTCTTCCAGCAGCACATCTCTGTGATAAGAATGTTGATGCTTTTATCGCAGGTTCCTCAAAAGGGCCTTCATTCGAGAAAGGCATGTCTTGGCAAGATTGGGAGAATTCCTACACGGCATTCAAAGCCTTCTTTGATGGTGGTGTCACCATTCTTAGATCCATTGATGAACTTCTTCCGCTTTGCCACAGATTCGATGGTTATGCAACATTCCAAGGTGCCCTTGTGTATCCAGAGACGGTTGGAGCCTTGAAAAAGTTCATGGACAAATACGGGAGTTTGCTGGAAGCTACAGATGTCACCTCTTCTTTCTCAAGGTGTACTGCCCTTCGAGCGCTTGGCTTAGTACTTCATGGGATGGACACCATGCAACTCCTTGATATTACAGATCATAAACTGCTCTGTTGGCGAGATGCAATATGCGAGGCCATGATTCTGGGCTTTCCTGTGGAATTTCTTCTTAAACTCGTGAAGAGCTTAGCACGTGCCGTCTTTGGAGCACGGGCCATTCATAGTATGCAATTATCGCATGATTCTGATGAAGTAAAAGCTGCTGCAGATGCCTTGAATATTAAACAACAGGAGTTGGAAAACCAGCGCCGGGAGATGCATGCCCTTCTTCTTGCTAAGGGTGTTTCTGTTGACAGCGCTGAGTGCGTGACGGAGGCAGCAGCCAGATTATCTCCTGGGGCTTCCTTTGTTCTTTTCGGACATTCCCCATAGCTTACAGGTACTCAGCTCATCCATTATATATTTTTTATTACGTATTCCAGCAGCAGCCATTTTTTTTTACACACATTTTCTTTTATCTTTTGCAGATTGCCCATCCTTGGCTTAGGGACCATTTAGCTTGGCTCGTGATCCTGCTTTTCTTCGTGACTTAAGGGCGCGTGAACCTTCAGCAGATGCAGCTTTATTTTGCTTTGTTTGTAGTGTTGTTTTTTTTTTTTTGAGACTCTAACGACTACGTCGTTATGCCTTTGTAATTTTGATATTAAACTACTGAAGCTTGTATGAATTTCCGGATGCTTGAGGCATGTTGCATATTTCCTGTGTAGATATGTATATGTACTGCTTTGTTGGCCAGAATTGTCTTTATGGACTGCTTGAAATTTTTGACAGGTTGGATATCATTGAAAACAGGGTATATGCTGTCAAAATTTTTTTAGAAACCCAAATCTTCGAAAGCTTCTTTTGCATGGCTTATCCGGATTCTAAACTTGACAAAATAGCTTCCCACCTTTCCCAAAGGGTCGAACCAACATGTGCATGATTTCTAGCCGAGCTCTATAAAGCTTCCAGGTGTTATATCGTATCGTTCCAGCATCTCAGAATTGCATGTTTCTTTGTAACATGCCTTATGCTATTATTATTTTTTTTTTTTTGCTTAAGCGTGATGCTTGGGGACCCCATCTAAGTGACTTTGCCCGGCATGTTTTACTGCTAAGTAGCATGTTTATATATATATATATGGAAAATTTGATAAAGGATTAATAATAGTAAGGTTTTGGAGACACAATATATATATTTTTCAAAATATTCCTTCATCTTCATTGCAAAAGCCCTTGCTACCATAATGGTGCATCATACAAAAGTGTCTTTTTTCCAAAACGTGAAAATAAGACAGAAGGAGTCTATTTTTTTTTGACAGAAAGAAAATACAAAAGTACTAGGCATAAAGTTAACTTAGCAGTAATAGAGCTTGAGCCACTTCCCATTGACGGGGTCGGTTAGCGTGCCTTCTTTGACAGAGACCAAGCGATAATAGCCGCTGCTGTGAACCTCTTTGACTGCAAACGGGCCTTCCCATTGTGGCGCAAACTTGGAAGGTCCCGACACTTGTCTTCTCACATGCTCCGCAACTTTTAGCACGAGGTCTCCTTGCTTGAAGGCGCGAGGCTTGACTGTCCTGTTATAGGCTTGAGCTACGGTTCTGTGGTACAATGCTGTCTTCTTTTCGGCTACCGCTCTTTTTTCATCCAAAGCTTCAAGGTCCAGCAGGCGCCATTCCGAGCATGACTTTGTATCCCATTCGAGGTCGTTAACAGCTGCTGTTCTGGCAGTGGGGATGGTAATCTCTACTGGTGAAATGGCATCGGACCCGTACACGAGTGAATATGGCGAGAAACCTGTGGCACTTCTTGAAGAGGTGCGGTAGGCCCATAAAGCATCCGGCAGGTGAACACTCCAACCTCCTTCATACTCATAAACCATTTTGCTTAAGATCCTCAATAAAGTCTTATTTGTGGCTTCCGCTTGACCATTTCCTTGTGGATAATAAGGCGTGGAGCGGCGATGCTTGATACCATAACCACTAAGTGTCGAGCTTACTTGCTTATTGACAAACGGGGTGCCATTGTCGGTGACAATCTTGTATGGGATCCCAAATCTGCATACAATATTTTCACGGATGAAATTGGCAACGGCAGCTCCCGTGGCCTTCCGCAAGGGAACCGCTTCTACCCACTTTGTGAAATATTCGGTGGCCGTGAGGATCCATATGTAGCTGTCGGATGGTGGATGGATGGTCCCGATCAAATCAAGCCCCCAAGTATGGAAGGGCCAAGGGGTGCGCATGTCTTGCAGCAGCGTGGGAGGCTTATGACTTAAATTGGCATGAACTTGACATGTGTGACACCTCTTCACAAAGTCGTATGCATCATTCTTCATTGTAGGCCAATAATACCCAACACTCAGCAGCTGCCGGTAAAGCTTCTTCATTCCTTGGTGTTCACCACATTCTCCAGCATGAATTTCTTGCATGACTTGCTGTGCCTCTGACTTTCCCAAGCATTTTAATGGCTCACCATTAAACCCCTTACGGTAAAGAGTTGACCCGTCTATGAAGTATCTTTTCATTGTCCTTTTGAGCTTGCGTGCATGCTTGGGATTGGTTGGCAAGACTCCATTGATGAAAGATGCCAAGTATGGGGCCCTCCAATCCTCCGCAAACGAGACGGTGAATGATTCCTCGGTGGAAGGTATTTTTGCACACTTGGGACAATTGGCTTGTATTTCAGCTGCTTGTTTCCTCATTTCTGGCCAGTAATAACCCTTGCGCTGCAGGCGCCGGTACAAGCTGATTATTGGCTCCAAATTGCAAGTGACCTCATGTACCTCTTGAAGCTTCTCCTGTGCTTCTGTTATCCCTATGCAGCGGGTCAAAATACCTCCCGGAAGGCGTCTGTACAGTTCCCCAAAGATGATCGCATAATCCTTCAATTCTTTGATGTTGCTTCCTTTGCCTATTTTTTCTTTCACAAGCTTCCTCCAGTCATCCTCTTCCAGCCGCTCCTCTTGAGCCATTGCTTCAACAACTGGCGTGTCCTCTTGATTACTGCAATATTGGGCTGTTCGTCAATAAATGAGAGCCTCGACCCCAAAGTGGCCAACGCATCAGCATATCTATTAGTGACTCCCGGGATATGTTCCAACACAACTTGTTTGAACGAACGAACAAGCCTTTCAGCAGCTGTACGATATGGTGCCAATGCTGGTTCCTTCACGGCGAAATTTCCTTGTAATTGACTCAGCACCAAGTTTGAATCCCCAATAATTTTAATTCTTTCGACACCCATTTCCCTTGCTGTAGACATCCCTGCAATAAAAGCTTCGTACTCTGCCGTATTATTCGTGCATGGGAAATTTAGCTTAAACGAGAGGGCCGTGGCTTGCCCCTCGGGATTGACAAGCACCACACCTGCCCCTCCACTCTTCGATGTAGAAGACCCATCGAAGTAGAGGGTCCATGGTTCTGCCTCCGTGACAACAGCAACCATTTCCGGCAGCTCCCCCAGAACTTCCTTAGAGATTGTTGATTCTTCAACTTCGGGAAATAGAGCCAACATGTCAATAACGGCCTGCCCTTTGATGGCTTTTGGAGTAGTGCAGGTGATATCGAACTCGGACAGCTGTAGCAACCAACGTGCAAGGCGTCCGGATAATATCGGCCTTGTAAGCAAATATCTTACGGGATCAGACTTCACCATGAGATGTAGCTTGTGAGCAAGGAAGTAATGCCGCAAGCGCTGTGCAGCATAGACAAGAGCAAGGCACAAAAGTTCAGTTTTCGGATATCTTACTTCAGACCCCCTTAGTTGCCTACTTACGTAATAAATAGGACTTTCTTCCCCACTGTGATCATCTTGAGCAAGTAAGGCCCCAACCGCTGTGTTTGTTGCAGCCAAATAAAGTTTGAGAGGAAGCCCCGGAATAGGTGCTTTCATAGTGGGCAGCTTGGCGATTATTTGTTGCACCTTCTTGTAAGCTTCTTGGCACTTCTCACTCCATTCATACCTCTTGCCTTTCTTGAGCAATGGAGTAAAAGCACTCATGGTGGCAGCAAGACCTGGGATAAAGCGCCGAATATACGATAATCTTCCCATAAAGCTTTTCAATTCTTTTGGGCTTTTAGGCGGTGCAAGAGAATTTATGGCTTTAGTCTTCTCAGGATCCACGTCTATGCCACGCTGATGTACTTGAAACCCCAAGAATTTACCGGATGAAACCCCGAACGCACACTTCTTTGGATTCATCTTCAAACTGTACAGCCGACACCTTTCCAGCACTCTTCTTAAAACTTCTTGATGGCCTTCTCTGGTTTTGGACTTCACCACAAGGTCATCCACATAATCTTCGACTTCTTTTCCCATCATGTCGTGAAACACCGCTGTCATAGCTCTTTGGTAGGTGGCGCCAGCATTTTTGAGGCCGAATGGCATGACCGTATAATAAAAATTCCCATACGGTGTTCGAAAGGCTGTCTTTTCAGCATCCTTGGGAGACATCTTGATCTGATTGTAGCCACTAAACCCATCCATGAATGACAACAAGCCTTGACCCGAGGTCGAATCAATTAAGATATCCATGTTAGGCAGCGGGAACTCGTCCTTTGGGCAAGCTCGGTTGAGGTCTCGATAATCCGTGCATATTCTGATCACACCGGTTTTCTTCTTCACAGGGACAATATTTGCTAGCCACGTAGGATGCTTGATTGGCTTAATAAATCCGGCAGCTAACAACTTTTCAATTTCCACCTTGATTTGCTTCTCAACTTCAGGATGAAAATTCCTTCTTGGCTGCACGATAGGTTTTGTACCAAGCTCAATATTCAGAGTATGACTTACTAAGCTTGGGTTCAAGCCAGGCATTTCCTCATAGCTCCAAGCGAACACATCTCGAAATTCCTTTAGCAAAGATACCAAGGCCGCCCTCTCCTCACTTGTTAAATGAACACTTATGGAAATGGGCCTCGGGGCAGAGGGATCCTCACTCAAATCAATTGTTTCCAGCTGCTCAGCTACTGCTGCCGATCCATCTTGCATGTGTCTGGGTGCTGCCATTGGTTCTTGGAAAGCACAAGGCATGGGTGCCTTGTTGTTGGAACTCCCACAGCTATTTGTTTGCATTACTTTTCCTCCATACTCGGGGCTTTCCCGTAAGACACGGTCAAGCCCCCAACCCCGTCATAAGCGGTACACGATACGTCCATCGGGCAGCGTCACCTTTGAGCATTGGGGATGATCATAGGCATGGTTGTTGACTTCCGAGTGCCTCTTTCTCTCTCGATCAACAATGGTGATGAGCTCCTCATTGCTTAAATCACGAATTTCAGTCCACGAAGGAAGGTAGGTCCCGAAATCCCTTGGATGGATTGCTTCCAGCACCTGTGCATTCAGTGTAGAATTCTGCTTCAGAGTAGTGAGCTTCATCTTTGTTGAAAGGTGCTTGGTTTCCAGGTATGCGTAGCGGCCTCAGCCCAATCCTTCCTTTTACGCATTGATGATAGGTAGAGACCACAAGCTTATGCTTGTTGAGCCATGGCCTTCCAAGCAAAGCATGGTAAGCCACATCCACATCCACAACATAGAACTTAGTAAGTGACCGAATTGGCCCAACCTTCAAATGTACTTGTAGATGCCCGACTGTGACCTCACTCTTATTCCCGAAACCACTGATGTTTGTTTGTGATTGGACAATTTTGGACAATGGGATACCAGCTGCCGTAAGCACAGACAGAGGTAATATGTTGACAGAGGAACCCGTGTCCACCAAAGCTCTCCTTATGAACACATCATTGATCTGTCCCTCCAAGTAAAGCGGCTCCTATGGTCCGGGTATGGGAACTTCCATGTCTTCGTCCGTAAAGACAATAGCATTGTCATTTCCCAAGAATGACCCTTGTGGTTGAGTTGTAAAGCATTGAGAATTAGACTCCTCAGAGATATTCATCAGGGCTACAGCAGCTGCTTCTCTTGCTTGCGGCCCGAAGCCAAGTTGGTCAAAGAGTGATTTGAACTTTGGGTTTCTTTGAAGGACCTGTGAAGCTGTGGGCCCCTGTTTCATGCTTAAATAACGTTCCATCACACTTGTTTCAGCTTCCGTGATATTATGAAATGTCACGGCAGCTGCTTCCTGCTGCTCCGATAAAGCCCCCGAGTAGCGTTCTTCCGGCATGTCCAAGACAAAAATTTCGCTGCCTGAGTTGTCACCCCATCCATCAGCGAGTGGCCATGGTGTGTTGTAACTTGAAGGCCTTGAATATTTACACCAATATGCCTTTTCCATGTTTCCGCAAGGTTCCCATACGGCTTCCGGCGGCTTTGGGTCATTCCTCCAAGGGTGGCACAATCCATTATCATCAAGCAAATCATCAGAACATGTAATGACAGCGGCTACCTCCTTTCCCCTTCGTTTTGGCAAGGGGTCTTCATCAATGGTTTGCTTCCTAGAGGGAAGTTCAAGGACTCCCTCATGTATTTTGGCGTGTAAAATCCTCCTCAGCTCTGACAGGCAGTGGTTGGATGCCCCACAAATTGATGATAACGGCAGTACCTAGGATCATTCTTTTCCTCTCGAGTAGGAACCTTGTAGGGTCTGACAGGTTTGATTACGCCATCAGCAATCATTGTGTCAAGGATAGCATGAAATTCTTCATCTTTGCATGGTAGTGGTGGATACGTCTCTCTATCCTTGCGTTTGCGTGAATTGTAGTCATTGGATGGCTTGTCGTCTATTGCTAATGTCTGATGCGCCTCCTTCTTCTCATTCCTCCAAGTCCTTTGTCCTGGTGGCCTGACGGACATGCTCGTCTTCCTCACAGCTTCCAGCAGCCGAGAAAATTGACTAATGCCAATATTCTCCAAATACACTCTATAATCTGCCACGATATTGCTGATGCAAATTTCAACAAGCGCCTCCTCGTCCTTCTCATCATAGCAATCTAATGCCAGGTCCCGGAACCTGCGTACAAAGTCCACGGGATCCTCACCATGCTTTTGGCGGTGTTGTTGAGTTGAGTGGTGGTGACTCGTTCTTCATGCTGGAAATACTTCTTACAGAACCTGCTTGCCAGACTTTCCCAGGAATGAATAGAGCCCGGTGCCAACGTTGTATACCATGTGTAAGCACGATCGGTGAGACTCTTTGAAAATTCTCTAAGTCGAAGATTATGATCACCAGCATACGGTCCCAAGGCATCGATGAAGCGATTGACATGCTCCTTCGGGCTCCCCTTTCGTCCATCAAAGAGGACAAAGGTCGGTGCTTCATAGCCTTTAGGATATGGCTGCTGGAGTAAGCTTGATGGATACGGCGGCTGAGGAAGATACTTCCAATCTTCCTGACTTCGACTCAGCTCCTTTTCCAGCATGGCAACAACGTCCTCCTGAGTGACAAAAGATGGTCCCTTCTGCTCAGACTCCTTTCCGGCAGCAGCAGATTCCTCCTGTGGGTGCTTCTCATTCACTTCACTTGGCTTTGGAGCCGAATTTTTGAGTTCTTTTATCATCTCTGCCATCTCCCTCTGGGTCTCACCCATAGCACGAATGGCTGCAACAAGATCTGTGAGAGTGAAAGTTCCCTCACTTGCACGTTCTTCTTCTCTAGAAGAGGCATGTTGCCTTGACTCTGAGTCAGCATGGCTTGGCCCATCCTGGGAAGTTATGTTGTTGCTTCTGGTCTTCTTTCTTGGAGGCATTGATGAAGATAATGGCTTAATCCCCAGCAGAGTCGCCAATTTATGTAGGGGACTTTTTCTTCCTGCAGCTAACGGGCTGGGCTGCTGCAAAAGGTGGACTGAGGAGATTGCCCCTTTTCGTTTAGGTTCGAAAATTAAGCCTCAAAATACCTCGAAAGGGCAGCGAAACCTTAGGAGATATTTTGAGTAATCTTCACCAATGAGAATAATAGTGACTTACAGATAATTTTGGCATGCTTTCAAATGGTTTTTAGGCTCAGCATGAGTGGCATGAGGCATGGAGAGCAAAACCAACATGGGTTTAGCACTAAGAGAGAAATTAGGCTTGGTTTATGAGGAATGAAAGCGTTTAAGTAAGGAATGGGGTGTTTTGTGAGGAATTTTGGCTAGAGAAAGAGAAAAAGAGAGACAGGGTTCTTCCAGCAGCTACCAGAAGAACAAATTGGAGAAGAAGATGAACAGTGCACGAATCTAAGTTTTGCAAGATAGAGAGAAAAGCTTGCTCTCTGCAGGTTGTGAGTTGTGTTTGTTGGGTAGGGGAAGGCTCAATTTATAGCTGCCGGAAATCACCATTTTTCAAGAAACCCTAATGGCTCCTTCTTACTTTGGCTGAGATTTTCTTCCTTTCTCCTCCCCTTCTCTGACTTCCCTTTCTTGGCAAAGATGGCTTCTGTCTATCTTCATGAATTTAGGAGATTTTGGGGGCTCAACATCCCTCTTTCCCGCGGCTGTGCAATGAGGGCTTCCACTCTTAGTTTGCTGTTTTTCTTCCTTTTCTTTCCTCTTCCTTGGCTGAATCTGATGAAGGAAAGGAGGTGCAAATGTATGCTGGTCCAAGGGATGCTTCTGACAGCATGCAGGATGGTATTCATCGGTTCTTTGGATGTCTCTGGCTTGGGACTGGTTTCCAGCAGCTTACTTAAGGAGCCTGCCATCTACTCCTTCACGTGTTCTCTGTTTTTCAAAAAAGGCTGAAGCTCTTGTGGGCCTTTTTCTGGGTTTTTCTAAGGGCCAAGATGGCTTTCTAAGCAAATGGGCTTATTGGGCTTGATTTGGGCTTATTATTATTTTTGGTTGGGTTATCTCTTGGCTAGGTTATTTTGCTTGGGCTTTTGGGCTATTTTTCTCTCTTGTGCCTACCCACATGTTTGGACCTAAGAAATGGGCTTGAGTCTCGAGGCTCCCAAGCGACCCGAGACTTTCCATTTCTTGGTCCATCAATGGGCCTCATGTTGATTTATTACCATCCATGCCACAACCCACTCAAGCAAGCCCCGGGTCTTTTTTTGAGTGGCTTGGGCCCACCTAGGCTTGTAGCGTGGTTGGGTGCGAGATAACGGCACGGCATGTTGCTCGGCATATTTTATTTTATCGCCCTTGGGAAGGATTGTTTTAATTTTTTGTGGCATGATTATATTTTATCATAGCATGATAATTTGTTTATTTAGCGTGGCGTGTGGGTTATAACTTGCATGCGATAGATCCCTTTTTTCTTTTCCCTTATGAAATATTGTATTGGGCTGATAATTGTTCGGGCCCAATCCATGGATTTTTGGGCCTCAACACTTATATTACTAAAACCGGAAATTTGCATCATGTACAAATGACATTGAGCAGCCAGTTCGTAACAAGTGATCTAATAAAGAGCATACAAGCACAACATAACATGAAATGATATAAGAGAAGACAAAAGAAAATTCCTAGTTTTCACCTATGTATGAACTGAAACAAATCAGAATGAAAAGCTTAAAATCTTCAAGAAGTCGAATCAACCTTGTTAATGACACAAAAACAGGAAAATAGAGAATGTGCAATTGTTTCACACCACCCTCAAATCCAAAAGCACATTCATCTCAGATCAGATGAATTTCCAAATTTCTTTCTTTTTCAAAGTCAATACATTCCTCTGTAACAGGTCAGTACTATGTTGTATAAAACAACTTCCTCAGGATGTAAGTTCTTTCATATGAGTCTGGATATGAGTGCAAATCACTTGGAAAATTACAGAGAGCACATTCAGAATTTGTTGCAAATTGCAATGTATGTGATAACTGGTTAACTCGCAAACCTAGCATACTTGGATCAGGATACAGAGCAGAGTAGTTTCAGAATCGAAGCCCCGTCTCCTGGGTGTAATATGGATTTGGGAGTGCTTATATAAGGAAGTACCCATGAGAAAACACCTTACAACCATTTCAGACAAATATGTGCATGCAGTTAGATTTAGAGACTACCAGTTAAATGAAAAACAAACTGAAGAATATACCGATCCTGCTGAATGGAGCTGCCCATTATTTATTCAGACTATAATATGGGAAAAGCTTTGTGCCACACAAACAAGACCTATATCCTAATTCCATCCTAGAAACTGGCAATGAACTGATAGAGAAGCAAATAGAAATACATGAATTAATATTCACCATTTATTCAAGCATAAGGAGTTATGAGCAACAAGCTAATTACAACAGGCAATCTTATTGCTACTGAAAAAAATGAAACAATGAATGAACAAATGTTGAATGAATTAAGAAATAAAGGGAACTTTTAATTTTATTTTTTATGAAACAAAACTTTATTAAATGATAAGAATGCTGCAAAATATCATGTTAAAGCTAAAAAGTTTGGCTGTGATTTCGGCAGTGAACAGTTTGTATCAGATCTGCGATATGTGTTTCCTGGTCCTGTAGTGTAGCTTCAGGCAGCGTTTTGGATCTTGTATCATTTCCAACTATTAAGTTTCTTTTCAAAAAAAAAATTCCAACTATTTTGTAGTAATTCACTCGATGGAAGGAAACAACTTGTTAAGAAACCAGAAAAATAATCTCCACAGGCCTTCATTTTACATATGTACATTTCTTAAGGACAGGCATTTTTGTTTTCATAATATTAGGGAAACAAGCATTGCTCAGGTAGGCAATGTTGCCAGAAGGACTGTATTGATCAAATTCTTGAGCATATCCAACCACATCTATAGCTCTACCTAAATTTGTTAGGCAGGGAAAGATAAATAAGTTCACATGATCTGATGATTATATGTATTTCACAACACAAGCCAAATCAAATAATCTTCAAATACCAAAAAAGGCACATCTAAAGATCAACATATACTAACCACGAAAAAAAAGAAGGAAACCTCCAAATTTGATTCTGAAGATGCTTGCTTCTTATGCTATTATCTGTAATGCCTCCATTCCTGGGATGTACCCTTAGATAGCATTATCAGACAAACAGAACTCTAAACTACATCTCCGTGCTTCTTTGTAATGACAGTACATCCTTGCTGCCAGCGAGTAATGCATTTTCCCAAATAAATGAGAGAGAGAGAGAGAGAGAGAGAGAGAGAGAGAGAGAGAGAGAGTTTGCCAGTCTCGATTCACATTTACCTGGGCTGAAGGTCTAACATTCTATGTTGTTGAAACAGTACTTCAAGGGGCAGAAAGGATGAAAAAAATAAAATAAAATGAATATGCCAGCCATGACTAGCTTAGCTGAGAAAACTTGATCCCACACTACTTGGACAAAAACTTTAGTCAATTTAGATATTCATGCAAACCTGTTGTTCACACCAGAAAAATGCAATGTAAATTAAATAACCAGTGAGAATCAATCAAAATTCATCACACCAGACAGTGCCACTGTCTCAATCAGTATGTTGGATGGCAAAAAATACTGGTTGATTTTATATATCCGAATCTGACCAATCAAATGTAAAGCTTGTCATTTCAGGTGATTGAACCAACTACTTCCACTTACTCTCCCAGTTATGCTGCATAACACCATAACTATTTCTTTATGAATCTGTAACCCACTCATATATATATATATATATATATATATATATATATTCTTTTTTGGACTTTTCACACCAATATCATGGCAATAAAGGACTGAGAAACATTAAAATCATTTAAAACAAAAATACCAAATAAGGTGGTCAAACAGGTTTTTCTTTCATTGCATTGAGCAATCCTAAGAACTACATAAGATGCATATAAATGACCAACAAATAGAAAATCAAGTTATGTATAACATAAAAAAATCAACATAAACAACATACACAGAAACAGGTGAGCGTGAATAACATTTTAAGATAAATTTGTTTTACTGATGTCAACAAAATTCATTACAGTGAAACAGTGCGCCTGTAAAGTACTTCGTCATCACTCTCATCTTCCTCATCTGACACCATTTCATTTCCAGGCAGCTCTAACTTTCCACCCATACAAAATAATGGACCTGGAGTCTCTGTTTCAATATATTCCCCTTGCAACCTCTCCTCAAACCTCTGATCACTACAGTTCAGGAACCATTTCAAAGAACACCTGATCTCCTTGCTTTGCAACCTCTGGTACCTAGGTTTTATCCTGGATTCCAAGCTGTAAGTGAAGTATTCCGGAAATTCCACAAGCTCTTTCAGTGGCCTACCCATTTCACTCTTAAAGAAGTAAAAGCTATTCTTCATGAGCTCAACACGCAATGCAATTAACTGGGGACACTTTACAATCATTTTGGCAACATCCTCGGAAGGTATTCCCCGTCCAAGAAGGAACTCAACTGGCTTCATTATCACATGTTGATGAAGGCTGACAATCTGCGGCATCTTCTCTATCACTCGTGCAAATCCTTCAGGATCAATCTTAAGCTTCAAACTAAAGAAATACTGCTGTGAGGACATTTTGGCCTTTAAAGGCTGCCCAAGAATTTGGGGGTATTGAGCAACAACCGAAGCAAGCACTTCCCTCCGGATCCCAAAACTAATCAAACAGTCCACATTTGGTTTAACAGTCTCCTCCAGATCATAACCAAGTAAATATACCCGCTTCTCCAACATCCTAGCCAAAATCATTTTTGGCAAGCCTAAGGAAACCAAAAAATCAACAAATGGCTTAATCACAGTCCCAACTCTCATTCCCAAAAAGTAAGGATACTGTGTGACCATCGGACCTATATCCCTAGGATTAACACCAATGCTAACAAGATATGCCACTGAAGTACTCATTGTCCCCTCAAGTTTATACCCGAGAAGCTCAGGATACTTCTGCAACACATAGCCAATATCCTGCTTCTCCACATCAAGCCCACGAAGGAACTTAACAACCGGCACAAGCTCAACAACCACACTAGCATGTAATACTTGTGGGTAATTTTTAACAAACTCACCAAGTTTCGACCTTGGAATCCCAATTTTCTCCAAGTAAGCCAACACAGGTATCATATTTTTTCTCACACTACATCCGAGCATCAAGGGGTACTCATTAATGTCATCGCTGGACAATCCTAGCTTCTGAAGGAACTCAACTCTCTCCCTCATGACGTCAACAGTAGAGGGTAGCTCTAAGTTTTCTAACTCATCAGGAACTATGCCCAAGCTCTTTAAATAATCACATATTATAACCCTTGAGACAAGCTTCTCTTTGCGGCCTTGGACCACACCCCAAGTGACAGAGGGCATCTCATACTCTGGAAACTTGGAGGACTGGGTTGAAAATGAACAATTCTGTAAAACCCTTGAAGGGTTTTGGCAATAGGGCAGTTGGGCACATGGGTTTTGGTGAGATTGGATTGATGGTGGGATTGGAGTGAGTTTCTGTGAAACTTGTGGGTTTATGGGAACTATTTGGGCGATTTGGGTGATGGGTTTTCTTGCTCTGAAGAGTGAACTAATCATTTCAAGGGAAGGAAGAAGAAGAACTGCTTGAGTTGAAACCACAAAATAAATCAAGAAATTGGTCTTTAGTTCTGCAGCTATTTTTATTCTTTGGAGTATTTCAAAAGGGGCTTACTTCGTTGGTTGGTAATGCTCTCAATCTTCAACCTGATGACGCATGGTCTCAGGCTTCAGCACATTGAAGCTCACAGGGTTCTGAGTATTTCGCTTCGTATATGAAGCCCTTCTCTCGTCTGGACCTATTGGGGCCGTTGGATATATCTGACGGTTGATTTGCAAAATATTTTCACAATACCGGTAATACCCTTGGTAGTCTTTCAAACTGACATAGCCTGTTCCCGTGTTTCTCTACTGGACGGAAAGGGAAGGGCTTTCACCTCGCAAGTAAACTTCTTTCTCACTCTCACAAGCTCACAAGCTCGCAAGCTTCAATCTCTCTCAACTCCGGCCTCTTCATTCACATAAAGGTAAATAATCAGTCTCGTCAAAATCTTTTGATTTTAGGGTTTTCAATCCTCTCAGTTTGTTTTTTTTTATATGGGTATGATTTCTGTTTATTTATTTATTTATTTGGAGTGATTATGCGATTCTGTAAACGGGGGTTCATGGGTTTTGTAATTTGATTGATTTATGCTCAATGGTGCTCTGCATTACATTAGTTTTGAGGTCAGACTCAAAGTTCCAAGCTAGGGTTTTCAAGCGGGTTTGAATTTTCTGTTTTTGTTTTGGTTTATTGTGGATTCTGTATACAATGCTTCATGGATTTTTAATGCTAATTTTCCTATGCTCAACCTGTGATGGTGTTCTTCATTTTGTTAGTTTGGAGTTTGGATTCAACGTTCCTACATAGGGTTTTTTTCTCTGGATTTTGATATCTGAGGACTTCCCTGTTATTAATTTAGCTTCTTTGAGGCTTCTTCAAGTTGTTTCAAGTTTGTTTACAATTGAGTTTGTTTTAAGCTTCTCCTGCGTCAAATGGATGCCCAGAGTTTCTTGCCCCATTGTATGTCCCATAATAGGTCCCATTCTTCTACCCTTTCCCAGGAGTCAATGACTATTCATAATAGGTCCCAGGAGTTGACACCAAAGAAGAGTTTGAACCAATGCTTTATTTCTGTCCTAGTTGATCCTGATTCGACATTAGAAGTATATTGATTTTTCCCCAATAACCAAATACTTTTGTCTGTAAATACTGCATATTACACATGCACAGGACATGGTTCAAATTAGTTTAGAATCCTATGTGTATAGGAGTGAGATCAGTATCTTGTTAATTGGTCTTTCTCTTTCTTTCTTTTTTTCTATGCAATTAATTTTTAATTAAAACAAATAGTTTTTACGATACGAAAACTTCATCTTGGTTTGCAATTTGCATAAAGAAGTTACCCCTTGATCTTGTTCTCTATTGCCCCTTTGGCCCAAATCCTAGGGTTTTGCTTATTATGCTTCATTAACCTAGGTTTTTCCTGCTTCAAATCCTTGAATCTTGCATATTCTTTTGCTGGGATGCCCTTCTTTTTTTTTCGTTTCTGAGATACTTTATCTAGTTCTTATCTTGGTTCAAAAATCCTAAATTTGCATACATGTTTAGGAGGATTTCAAGTAAGAAAGGTTTTTTTTTCTTTTTCCTTTCATTGACTTATTTTTTAGTTCATTAACTTAAATGTTTCTTTTGCTCATTGGCTTATTTTTTGGTTCATTAACTCAAATGTGTCTTTTGCTCATTGGGCAGTTGTGATTTTTTGTTGCTCCGAAGTATGAATTTGGAGTTTATAAGGTGGAATTGTTGTGTTAGGTAGGTTCTGCGAATAAGTAGAAGAGATGATTGCAGAGAAGCCCAGTTGGATTAGGCACGAGGGAATGCAAATTTTCTCCATTGATGTTCAGCCTGGTGGACTTAGGCTGGCCACTGGTGGGGGTGACCACAAGGTGCGACTTCTCTCCTCCTTTGTGCTCTGTTTGCTTGCTTAGGAAATGTAGGAATTCATTAAAAAGAAAAATTAATTGTGTTTTCTTCCCCTCCAATATATCAGAATCAGAAACCTGTACTCATGGGGGGAACATTACAAGTTTTCGTGTTCACTATGCATTGTTTCTCGTCATTATTGTTCTGTTTGGTTGGAAAAGTATTAAACAGACGGGACATTTGAGTTTTCAGAGACCCTGGAAAAGAAAACCCCAAAATACATTTATTTTGCTTCATTGTTATAATCTTCTATTGTATCCTCTGCCTTGTTTGGTTGGGAAAATATTGAACAGACCAGACATTTGAGTTTTCAGAGACCCTGGAAAAGAAAACCCCAAAATACCTTTATTTTGCTTCGTTGTTATAATCTTCTATTGTATCCTCTGCCTTGTTTGGTTGGGAAAATATTGAACAGACCAGACATTTGAGTTTTCAGAGACCCTTGATAAGAAAACCCCAGAATACGTTTATATTGCTTAGTTTTTAGAATCTTCAATTATATCATCTGCGTTGTTGGTGGAAATTTGATGGACATAGGTTGGAATTTGTGTCTACTGTTGTGTTTGGATTGTGAGTTTACAAGGGATCTGAATTCTTATTAAAAATTGTGCAATTTAAAAGTATTAATGTTATGGAATCTGCTATTTGAAATAGGGTGGAATTCAAATACGTCATTTTAAATTCAATCTCTAAATCACACTATTTTTTCCTCACAATCTGTAACAGGAAGTAATAAATCTCTGTTTTTCATTTTTCCTGATGTTTGATTTAAACAATTTAAACTATGTAGTCAAATATATACATACATACACATACATACATACATACATACATATATACATATATATATATATATATATCCATCAATTTGCATTAGACACATCTGGTCATAGTCACATTTTTATTTATTTTATGGGCGCCTTTGTTGCATCACTTTGCATGGCATCATTTGTTATACTGTGGAAGTGATTGCTTCGTCCCTACTTTGCCAACTACAGGTGCGAGTATGGAACATGAAATCCCTTGGCAGGGATTTGGAAAATGAAGAATCATCCCAGAGGCTTCTTGCAACTCTCCGTGATCACTTTGGTTCTGTGAACTGTGTTAGGTGGGCTAAGCATGGTAGGTATGTTGCTTCAGGATCTGATGATCAAGTGATTCTAATTCATGAGAGGAAGCCTGGTTCAGGAACCACTGAGTTTGGTAGTGGGGAGCCCCCTGATGTTGAGAATTGGAAAGTTGCAATGACTTTGAGAGGGCATACTGCAGATGTGGTAATGAAATTGCTTTTACCATTTCGATAGCTGGATCACCTGAAACAAATTCCTTATTTCTATAGTTTTTCGAATGGAGTGTGTTTTGATTCATGACTATGATCCACCTTTTGTTTTCAAAAAATCAAGTCATCTGGCTTTTGGGATTACTTTGACCTGTAAATTTGTTTTTTGAAGGTACAGGAAGAGTCATGTAATGTATGGTTTTTTTCTTCAGCTGCCTTTACGAAGGAAAAAAATGGGGCTAATTTAGTTGTTTTTTAATTATATTCTCCTAAATAAATGCTATGGATTTGTATAGTTCCTGGTGGGTATTGTCTTACTGAGGTGCTTTTTTTTCCATGCTTAAAGTAGGTGGATCTTAATTGGTCTCCAGATGACTCGATGTTGGCCAGTGGAAGTTTAGATAACACCATACACATCTGGAATATGAGCAATGGTATTTGCACTGCTGTTCTAAGGGGTCACTCTAGCCTGGTTAAAGGAGTTACTTGGGATCCAATTGGTTCATTCATAGCAAGTCAATCAGATGATAAGACTGTAATTATTTGGCGAACAAGCGACTGGAGTCTTGCTCACAGGACAGACGGCCACTGGGCAAAATCAGTATGTCAATCGTGTAAGTTTGTCTCTATACAGGTTCCAATATCATTGTCTAACAAGTGTTTGTTGTTTCAGCTTGGATCAACCTTTTTCAGGCGGCTGGGATGGTCCCCTTGTGGCCACTTCATTACTACCACTCACGGGTTCCAGAAACCAAGGCATTCTGCACCTGTCCTAGAGAGAGGGGAATGGTCCGCTACATTTGACTTCTTAGGACATAATGCCCCCGTCATCGTAGTGAAGTTTAATCATTCAATGTTTAGGAGGAATATTTCCAATGCTCAGGAAAAAGCAGCACCTGTGGGGTGGACTAATGGGGCTTCAAAGATGGGTGGGAAAGAGAAAGAACCACAACCTTATAATGTCATTGCAATTGGGAGTCAGGATAGAACCATAACTGTCTGGACAACTGCAAGTCCCCGGCCTCTCTTTGTAGCAAAGCATTTCTTTACTCAAAGTGTTGTGGATTTATCCTGGTATGGCTGCCATTTCCAGAAAAATGATTTACCATTAGGTTGTCTGCATATTCTTTTTCATTTTGATGTAGCAAATTTTATTTTATTATTATTTTGTGTGTGTGTGTGTGTGTGTTATTCTGTTCTGTAATGTTATTTTTCTTCTTATGGAAACAGGAGCCCTGATGGTTATTCACTTTTTGCTTGTTCTTTGGATGGGTCAGTGGCTACTTTCCATTTTGAGGTGAAAGAGCTTGGCAATAGGTTAACTGATGCTGAACTGGATGAATTGAAGAGAAATCGTTATGGTGATGTTAGAGGTCGGCAAGCAAATTTAGCAGAAAGCCCAGCACAGTTATTGCTTGAAGCAGCCTCTGCTAAGCAAGCCCCAAGCAAAAAAGTGGTTCTGGATCAGCAAAACCAGACAGTTGTAAAACCTTCTGTTGATGCAAGGGTTGCAACAAAAACTTCTGTTGATGGTTTAAATAAGGCTTCATTGTCTGCTAGAATTTCTAGTCCTGTGAAGCAGAGGGAATATAGACGGCCTGATGGTAGAAAGAGGATTATTCCAGAAGCTGTTGGGGTGCCTCTCCAGCAGGAAAATATATCTGTTGGGCCTCAGTCGCAGGCTCTTGACTTCCCTCCAATGCCTTCTGATAAAAAAAATGATGATAATGGGTTAGCCGCTGCTGATAGTGGCATTAGAGACAGTTCTGTTAGGGGAACACTTGTTAGGAGCACTGAAATAAAGGAGGGACATGGGGTCACTGCTAGAGCTATGATTACCAAAAGCCTGGTTATTGAGAAGGTTACCGCATCCACAGGCAGAGATGAAAGCATAACTGTGGAGCAGTCGGGAAATGCCAAGGCTTCTAGTTCGCTAGGCGCTTCTTGTTCCACTCTTTCAATTAGGGTGTTCGATAAGAAAGAAGGGGAAGATACTGTACCAATTTGCTTGGAAGCTCAACCCCGAGAACAAGCTGCAAACGACATTGTTGGCATGGGAAATACATTTATCATGAAAGAAACAGAAATTACTTGCACAAGGGGGTTGCAAATTCTTTGGTCGGATAGGATATCTGGGAAAGTCACTGTTTTAGCTGGAAATGCAAACTTCTGGGCTGTTGGCTGTGAGGATGGATGCATACAGGTTAGTATATATCTCTTTCATGCATGTGTACTCATTAATTTTTGTTTTTTCTTCATTTTTTCCCGTGTTTAAACCATTCTTAACAGATATTTCAAAATAAGTTAAATTCTGCATAATATTCCTTGGTGGTTGCACTTCACAACATCTTATTATACAATTTCCAACATCTAATAAATGTTTTTTCTGTGAATCACCATTGAAGTCAAAGCATTCTATTGCATTTGCAGCATTTGATATTTAAGTGATTGTTGTAGCTGAAGAAAGATGCTAATATAGTTAATAGGTTCAAAACTTCAATTTTTTTTTCTTCCCTTTAAAGCCTATTCAAAACCCTTAAAACTGAAGGTTTTGCCATCATTGACTGGCTTAAGCTCTTGGTTTGATGTGTAATTTGTTGTAGGGGAAGAAGAGAGTGAGTTTAAAGAATGAAGGTTAAAGAGATGCAGATACTTGATATGCTATTTTAAGCGTATTTTATTTTTCAATGATTTATTTAATGAGAGCTTCCAAATTGGATTATATTTCCAATACTCAAAGGACAACAATTTTTATTCTTAATTAGCATGACTCTGTTAGTCTATGCACCAACTTCACTCCCGCCGGTCATGACAAGCATTATGACATTTATGTTCGTTATAGTCATATGCAGACATGAAAATACCACTAAGCTTTTAAGTGGTTGGATATATATAACTTGTCAACTTTTTGGTTCCCTTGAGTAGGTTTACACAAAATGCGGGAGACGTGCTATGCCAACTATGATGGTAGGATCTGCAGCAATATTTATAGATTGTGATGAGTGCTGGAAGTTGTTTTTGGTTACAAGAAAAGGATCTTTTTATGTGTGGGACCTATTCAAGCGGAACTGTCTTCTTCATGATTCGTTGGCATCTCTGGTTGCTTCAAACCCAAACCCATCTGCAAAAGATGCAGGTACCACATTGAACTTGTCTTTTCAACACATGGAGCGTCTTTTTTCAACTGTAGTTGCTTGATAGGCATAGCCCATTCTTGTCGGCATTATGTTTAGATGTGCTTAACGTCCTGTACACTGTGGCTGTTGGCTTTTATACATCCTTTCCAGGTGTGATCAAAGTTATATCAGCAAAGCTATCAAGATCTGGTTCTCCTCTTGTTGTTCTTGCCACTCGCCATGCCTTCCTCTTTGACATGGGCCTGATGTGCTGGCTTAGGGTTGCAGATGACTGCTTTCCTGGGTCAAATTTTTCAAGCTCCTGGCATTCAGGTTCAACTCAGAGTGGTGAGCTGGCAGCTTTGCAGGTTGATGTTCGGAAATATGTGGCCAGGAAGCCAGGTTGGAGCAGGTGTGTACTAAAATTGCGGAATTGTTCAGATAATATTAATATGTACTGACTGACACATTGCAGTTTAGTGTCTTGCTCTTGGAATTGATCCAGTTGTATTTTCTTATAGGGTGACTGATGATGGAGTGCAGACACGTGCTCATTTGGAAGCTCAGTTGGCTTCTTCACTGGCTTTAAAGTCCCCTAAAGACTATCGTCAATGCCTTCTTTCATACATACGCTTCCTTGCGAGGTATTTATTTTTGCCTCCCTTGTGCTCCTCTTTTTCTCTGAGTTGCTCTATTTGCACATACATAACACGTTGCTAGTAATGTTGTTAAACTCTTTCATTATTACATATAATGTTCATTGGTGGTGCTTCTCTTCGACTTCTACTAGCATGCTCTGCTTCTGCTTTTTTCTGTTGGTGGCATCGTCTTTTACTTTTTATTTGATTCATCAATATATTCTACAGAAGAAAACATAAGGTGTGCTATTTGTTTTACAAGTTTGACACTTAAAAGTGTGTTAGAATTGAATACTTGTAAGACATTTTTTCAACCCCCTGTCTCTCCTTCTCTTTCCCCCTCTTCTTGTTTGAAATTTCGTGCATGTTCACGCACTGATGTTGTCAGCAGTGTATAACTGAGAGATAGATGTGTTGATACAGCCTTAAATCTGAAATACCCTTCTTATTCTCGTTTACTAGAGCTTCTTTATTTATTTATTTATTTTTGGGTCATTTGCAGTGGATTTGGACGCCTGGGGGGTTCTAAAAGTCTATTCTTAAGATATGATGTCATATATCAGGATCAGGGGACACACATTTTTAACACAAAATTTGACATACTTTTAAGACCTTTAGATCTAACCACTTTCAACGGTGGAGATGAACGCTAATTTAACTTTTTCGCTATTACACCTTGTATTCTTCCCTTTTCGGGAATGTCAATATTTAATAGCTTTTTCAGCTTCTTTTTTTTCTCTCTTTCCTCCCTCCCTTGTTTTCTCTCCCTTTAAAACCTTTTCTTCTTCTGTGACAAAAACCAGACCCTTCTTCCTTCATTGTTTCTGCGAAAATCCTTGTTGTATTCTGGAAAAACAATGAGGTAGATGGTGGTCTCACCCATCCGCATATACACTTCCAATAAAAATAAATTTTGCCTTATCTTTTGTGTTATAAAAGTTATCAGAAAAAGAGAAAGACATTAGAAGAATTCACAATCACAATACTATGGCCAAACTTCAGGAGAAGAAAGATTGAAAGAGGAACCACGTCCGAAGAAACGAAAAGAAATAAAACAAATACAAGACCCAACCCTGTCCTGCCCTCTCCTTATGCATCATTTGAAAAAATTGGCACAACACACCAAAGAGGATTGTCATGCCTTAGATAAACAGACTGTAGATGTATCTTGCAGGAACTAAGACAAATCCAAAATATATTTGTTAATAGTCTGATGGATTACAAAGATATTAAGGAGGAAAATGAAAATTGAAAGTTTGCAGTTTTGGGTGCATGTCATCTATGTATTACTTCATCATTTCCAGAATGGCACAAGAAAATATTTTACAGGGAAGAAATTAAGGAGGAGAAGAAGGATTTTATTATAAAATAAAATAAAACAGAAAACACGGGAGAGAGGTGATTAATTAAATTGAAGAAGTTATCCTTATCTTTGATATAAAAATAAATAAATTTGTAATATAAGTTTCTTTTCGACTTTAAAAAGAAAAGAAAAGAAATTAAATTGAAGAAGTTATCCTTATCTTCCAAATCCAGATTAGAAACAAGATTTTAACTTGATAAGAAAAGTCTGTAAAACGTTATGTACATTTGGGTAATAGCTAAGTCAGTAGATTGAGAAGAAGCTCCCAAATGATTTATATTTAGCTAACTTTTTCTTGCAGGTCAAAAAAGAAATGGGTATGAAAACTCATCCTTTGAAGAAAGAAATCCATGGCTGTTCACTTCACATTGTACTCCTCCAGCTCAAATGAAAATACTGACAAATGTTTTTTTATAAAACTATTTCTTTTGAAAACATATTAAATTAAACAAGGTTTCTCATTGAAATTTGTGAGGAGAGGCGCGAGAGAATGGCTTATTTCCAAGGGAAATTAATCATATAGTTGTGGGTATTGACCTTTTTTTCAAATGCAATCTTAGCCATTAAAACTGCTTTAATCTGAAGGTTGAAAATATGTGTATAAATTTGTGACTTTGTGTGTGTGTGTGTATATATACATATATATATATAGTTTGTGTATGTATGTATATGTGTATGTATGTATGTATGTATTTTTTATGATGTTTATGATCTTTAGCAATCCTAAACTTTGATGCATTTTTTTACTTTAGTCTCTGTAGCATTATACATTATAACTTTATGTTTACACTGATTTCAGAGAAGCAGATGAGTCTCGCTTAAGAGAAGTCTGTGAGAGTTTCCTTGGACCTCCAACTGGGATGGTGGAGGATACACCTTTAGATCCAAAGAACCTGGCATGGGATCCTTATGTGCTTGTAAGGCTTTGTATAACAATTCTTTAGGTGTCTTTTGCTAATGGGATTTGAATCCAAAAAAATTTCAATCCATTTGCCCCCTAATTTTCTCTTTTTTCTTTTGCAATTTTCTTTTTGAGATATGACCCTGATAGATACTCCTCGTGTAGAGTCAGTTCAAATTTCTTTTATTTTCTTTCTCATTCTGGTTGCTTGTTGAGGGTTAAGCAGTACCTGTGATAAATTTGTAAATCTACCGTAGTTTCACCTGCGATTTGGTTGATTGCAGGGTGAAATTGCAATGGTGTATGATACAATCTCAAGTATCAGACTTGTTGCAATATACCCCGGCACAAACTCTTGTCATCCAATCTTTGCTACCTAATTGTTACTAATTTTTAGTTTTTTTTAGCCTTGGGAAGGTTTATATGCGTTATTTACATTTACCCCTTGTGTTTCTGCTTTTGCAGGGAATGAGGAAACATAAACTCTTACGAGAAGATATTCTTCCGGCAATGGCTTCAAATAGAAAAGTACAGCGATTGCTTAATGAATTCATGGATCTCATTTCCGAATATGAAAGCGCTGAAACAAATCTAGAGAAAAGGTCTCAAACTTCACCAACAGCACGTCCACCAGCAGCTGATCAAATGGAAGCTGCTCCATCTGGGACAAATCAAAAGGACTCTGTCCCTGCTGCAACAGATCAAAAGAAGTCTGTTCCTGCTTCAATTGATGAAAAGGACTCCTCCCAGTTAGCAGCAGATAAAGAAAATTCTGCTCGAGCGGCAGAAGATACAGTTATTTCAGATCCACAAATGATCAATCAAGTTAGTCTTGCTCCACAAGATGCAGGTTCTTGAGTTTTGCATCTTCTCAGAGTCAAAAGGAATGTAAGAAATAGGGCACGCTAACATGTAGTTGAACAGGAGTTAGCTTGAAGATGACCGGCGTATGTATATGTTTGGAGTTTATTTACCCATGACACATGCATAATTGAAGTCCATTTTGCTGATCACCTTTCTTCTCAAGGAAACCTACCTACGAGTATATGATGCATTAAGCTTCGAATGATTGGTGAATTATGTGGTGGTTTCCTCTCACAAATGCAAGAAAATCTCACTTTGCATATGTAGTTGTATGTAATTGGCTTGATGAATTTTGTTTCTTGTACATTATCCAGCATAATCTTAATCTTTATTGGATGAGAGAGCTCCTAGGTTTTGTAGTTTTAGGTGTCCTGCCATACAATCATTTTAATTTTTATTGATAATATTTTGTTCTTGCTGTTTAAACCCAGGGGACGCTATGAACCGCAGCAGATTCAAGAGATAAAAAAACATACATCGCTAGGATTCCTTGGTTTTATATTTATTTTGAGACGTTAAATTACCAACTTTAGAAATGTGCAGAAGAATAGTAAATATTTCATATATGTTTTTTTTATTCAAATATTGGATATATGTTTAGGTTAGACATATACTTTAGTTCTTAATAACAAGCATGAGTTAATTATTAATAATATTCCAATGTTAGATGACGTTCGAATCTCCCCTTATTATTGATTAAAAAAAAATCATGTTATTGAAAAAAAGCATCACAATTTTATACTAGAGTGGACGTGATTCGATTTAATTCGCTTTAGACGTTAACCTAATTATATCATTGAATAAAACAAATCCATTTAATGATTGGTATGGTTCAGTTATTTTTTTGTTATAGTTGAGAAAATCTTTTACCTCTGAAAATTGTGATATTTCGAGAGATATAACATTGAATTTGAATGACGTGGAGATTTTAATTTTTGCTACTAAATGGGTGACATCAATGTATGAGATGGAATGTATAAGTGAAATGTTATAAACCAACTAATTGCGGTTTGGTTCATTTCAAAATGAAATTACACATCTTTTTTTTTGGGTAAAAATCGAACTAGACTCTGGGTATTGGTTTAACATGGCTGGTTTGAATTGTTATGTTGATTTTTTGCCACATCCCTAAACTTACTTTTCACGTCCCACTTTGACACTAGTCTAGTACATCAAGTTCGATGATGTGCCGTATGTGAGTTCTATTTTTATTTACTTATTTTGTTAATAATTCTTAAAACTCAAAAATAAAATTAACCCAACCTTTATGTGTGTGAAAAATATTTTTCATTTTGTGTCTTTTGATTTTGTCTTTCAACTAATCAACTAACCGAATATATAGAGAGTGAGTTGAGTCAAAAAATTAAGTCCAATTTAGCAATAGAAAGGAAAGGAAAAATATTTTCTTAAAATTTTGCATGATCTGTAAAATATATTTATTCATTTATAATTTATTTCAATTATAGATAAATTAAATGAAACTATCTTTTTAAATTTTGTGTGCAGTTGGTTTAAATGGGTTTAATGATGTGCATTTAATTAAAGGGTAATTCTATATAAACCCCATAAATTACTCTTTACACCCCATAATTTTTTACACCCCACTAAATTTTAATAAAATTTCAAATTACTCATTAAACCCCTTTTTTTTCCCCTAAATTGCCCTTATAAACCCCATTCCCTAACCACCCACCGAAAACCCCATTCCCTTTCAGCCACACCCCATCTGAAATCAAACCCCACCCCATCTGATATCCAGCCACACCCCACCGAAAATTCTCTCCTCTTGCAGACACACCCCATTGCACACCCCATCCCATTTACACCAACCTCCATCGCAGAACCATCGAAGAAGCCCTTTGCCATTGCCTGCATCGCAGAACATCGAAGAACTCATCCCTTGCCATCGCAGATCTTTGCTCACCATCGAAGAAGCCCTTTGCCATCGCCTCCAGCAAACCTGAACCATCTCTGAAACAGAACCATCACACCCATCTCCATCTTTGCAAACCCAAAAGCCATTGAAGGTCAAGTTCTCACAAATCCTTATTCAAGGTTTGATTTCAAATTTGATCTATATATTTACGTTTCTAAGTGTTGATTAAGCCTACATTTGATTTCACTTTTGAAAAGCCAAAGTCTGATACTGATTTTGATTTTGATTTCAAGGTTCTGGGTAGTTCGAACCTGGTTTTACGAAATTGGATTCTAGTTTCGGTGGATTGCCACCGAAATGATTACATTGCTTCAGTGGTAGTCCACCGAATTAAACCTGTACTTTCGGTGGGTTACCACCAAAATTGTTACCTTGTTTCGGTGGTAGTCCACCGAATCTGTTTCTATTTTTCAGGGGACTCCCACCGAATTTCTTTCGGTTTTTCAGTGGTACTCTACCAAATATGTATTCTTTTTTCAGTGATTGTCCACCGAATTTATTTCCATTTTTCAGTGATTATGTACCGAATACGTTACTGAGTGTGTACTTAATATTTTTTCTCTTTTTCTCTGTGTTCACCTTTTCTATTTTCTCCTTCAACTCTGGAGGTTCTGCGACAGATTATGGTTAAACTCCTGCATTATTTTATCAACTTTCTCCTTCAACTCTAAATGACTATGCACACAAAGATGTATTTTTCAGGTAACATGTGAAAAAAAATTAAATAAAATTATTAGATCTATAATCTCAATTCTGTAACAGGTGCATTTTCATCAGTCATTAGGATGACGGTATCTGTAGTACCTACATTCTCCACTCCCGGAAGTTGTTGAAAAGCATCCACACGTGCTTGGTACCTCGAGTACAAATGTGTTACATTGCATATGTCACTTTGTTCATGCCACATTCTAGAAACTGGTGGAATAGGATGATCTGGAGACAAATGAACCTACAAAACAAGAATCCATTCGTCGATCCAAGATGCATACAAGTGTCTGTCCATGCGGCCACAAACTTATCCTTAAATGGATTTAACCAATTTTCATGTATGTATTCAAGAGCTTTTTGAAATTCACTGAACTTAGACTCAATCTGTCGCAAACAACGCCAATATTCCTCCTCCGTTTCTGAACCAACCAAAGTATTCCAATCCTCATTAAATTGCTTCCATTGTTTGAGGGTCCCAAATAACTTCTTGCAGTTTGCCAACACTCCTTTGTTAATATGCCATCTACATAATAAATGTCGTGCTTTCGGAAATATAGACGTAATAGAATTCAAGAGTGCTAACTCTCGATCGGTGACAATAACACCAGGAAGACAATTATCATCCAACAAATTCCTCAACGCAGTCAATGCCCATGTGTAATTGTCTTCCTTCTCGGCATTCATATACACATACGCAACAGAGAATGTCATATTAGTATATGTCACCTCCACAATTTGCAATAGTGGGAAACGATACCTATTAGTCTTATAGGTGCAATCCATGATAAGTACATGTGGAAATGCGCGCAAAATATCAATATTAATGGGGTGTGTCCAAAACAGGTCAGTTACAATATCCCCAGATGTCCTATGCCACTCAATATAATTGTGTTCGGATAACTTAGTAAGCAATTGTTGCATTTGGGTTCTCCCAGCAAATTCTTTGGTTCTATTTCGGATCCTAGCATTGTATATTGTCTTCATAGTTGAAACATTCATTGCATCTCTATCTTTAATGGTGACCTTGAAGATACTCTGAAATAGGATGGTTGTGTACTCCACAAACCACCTCCAACTTCCAATCATCCCCATCACCAATATTAACACCTTTTAACAAGAATGGGCATCCACATTTCTTGGTACCAGTGTCTCTAGCACATTTTTTCATATCACTATTTGCATCCGATCTTATATCAGTTGTCTCACTAGACTTGCAAGACTTATAGTTAGCGTTCCTCTCACAAGCAAGTATTACACGAGGTCTCCTCTTGCCCTCACCTCCATAATCAGACCTTTTAATTACAATGATAATATTATTCAATTTTCCTTGTTCACGAGCCCATTGAAGTAATGCATCTCTACCATTGAATATCTACACATAAAACTCATATTATTTAAATATAAAATTTGAAACATTAATGCCACGTTAATGATACTAAAAAGGATTTCAGATAAATAATTACCGAATAAGTTGTGAATTGATCACTATAGTCCATTACACATTCTGTTCCCACATTGTTGCCTTCAGTAGGGGCGTCACCTTGATTTTGTTCCTTCAATGGGAGTAAGATCAAAATAGCTTGGATTAAATTTGTGGTTGGCAATAAGTTACTGAAAAAATAAATAAATTTCGGTTGGATGCCACTGAAACGCGGGTAAAAGTTCGGTAGTACACCACTGAACTACGTTCCATCTTACGGTGGATCCCCACCGAATATTAAGTTTCTCACCGGTGAAATCCAACCGAAAAAGGTGCAAAGTTTCGGTGGCATCCCACCGAAATTATCTGTCGTGTTCGGTACTGATGTGCTGAACACAACCAGCGACTGTTATGAAATATTAAACTTGCAAAACGCCAAAAAATAAACTCGTTCCTCATTCGAAGCGTCTCTAACTTCAATCTCACCCTTCATGAATAAATACAATATATTTTTTCACCAGTATAAACTTATAAATCTTGGGTTTAGGGTTTAGGAACATGATAGTTTGAGAAAAAAGTCAAACTAGAGTTGCAGGAACATATGTGGGGTGTAGTGAGCAATTTTAATTTTAATTTTAATTTTTTTTGTCCTTAACGGTAATTGTGTACAAGGGTAAAATAGGTTATTTATATTTAAAATTATTATGGGGTGTAAAGAGTAATTAATGGTGCCAATAAATCACCCTTAATTAAAACAGCTGGACATGGTTGTTTGTCTTGGTGTTTCCACGTTTTTTTTTTCTTTTTACTTTTTTACGCGCAACAACTCAGCAACTGAGTCACCGAGTTATCACACCGACCTTTCATTTTACATTTTGAAAACCAAAATAGCGCCACAACAATACTTTCCCTCTTCTTTTCGTCTGCCTG